AAGAAATTCAGAATCCATGGTGAAGGAAGAAGAGGTGCTTTTGGAAAACCGTGTGAAGGAGGAAGAAGAAAATGTAGAGGCAGTTGATTTGAACGAAACTCAGTTCTCAAAACTGGACGAGCTTCTGACTCAAACACAACTTTATTCAGAATTTCTGCTTGAGAAAATGGATGATATCAAGGTGGGTTAGGATGGAGCCGAAGAAGGAGAGGTCAAACCAGCTGAAATGGATGATCAAATGGGATCCTTGCTGATCAAATGGGATCCTTGCTGATCAAATGGGACTTGGAAAAACAATCCAAACGGTTGCATTTCTTGCACACTCAAAAGGAAATGGTTTGGTTGGGCCTTTCCTTGTCATTGCCCCTCTTTCTACTCTCTCAAATTGGTTGAATGATGGTTCTTATTTCTACCCACCCGTGGAGCAAATAGTGTGGCAAGTTTCAGTTGCTAGAACAACTTGTTGGAAAATTGCTTGAACAAAAACACAAGGTTCTGATTTTCTCTCGGTGGACTAAAATGGTCGACATAATTGAGTACTATTTTAGCCAAAAGAATATGGAATTCTGCAGAATTGATGGCAGTGTCAAATTGGATGAAAGGGGAAGACAGATTCAAGAGTTCAATGGACCGGTGTCACAGGATTGGTCAGACAAAACCTGTTTACAGACTTGCAACCGCCCAATCTGTTGAAGGACGGATTCTAAAAAGAGCTTATATTAAGTTGAAGCTTGAGCAGGTGGTGATTAAGAAACGTCGGTTCCAGCAGGAGAGAAGCAACCCGAGCTGTACTGATGTATTAAAGGAAGAGGATTTGTTGCTTCTTTTGCCAGAGGAAGATAGTGAAGAAGATATAAAGTTTAAGACAAACATATATATCATTAATGACATGTGAGTTTCAGTTTTATAGAAAAGTGTACACCGTACATTTTGTTTGTATCAAGGGAAAGTCCATAAATTAATTTCCGCTACAAAAAAGCACGGTACTGACACAAAATTAGCACATATTGATCGGGTTTGGCATGAATCATAACATTCTTTTTGACATGACTCCGTGACAAATAGCTCCTGATAAAACGGCGTTAAAGGAAATTGGGCACGGTTTTTTTTATTGGTGCCAAGTACGTGTCACATCTGTGCCAAATACGTGCTACATATGTGCCAAATACGTGCCGCATCCCGACAATCATTGAAACGAACTACCTGTCAGGTTTGCTGTGAATGATGGATTCGGTTTTGGGCTTTGTAAGAACATGATTTGAAATATCGGTGGTCTTTGAAACTTTCAATATATGAATGGTAATATCTACCACAAAATCGTAATGGTTGGTAGTCAAATTGGTGATTCATGGTGTTGGAGGCAAATTGATGCAACAAATTTTACTTCTAATTATTTGTATATCATTGAAAAAAAATTATTTAAAAGGAAGATACTATTGGCTGGTTATGAAACTCTCCCCAAATCCGTCTATTGAGGATTGTGAGCAACTTCTTTGGTTTGACATGGATGATGAGGTTTTTGGGACAGTTGAGTTACCATCTCATATCGGATGTGGTTTGTTTACAACTATGGAAGAGACTATTGCTTTTCTTGATTATCCAATTATGGCGAACAATTATCAGATCGAGATATAGTTGATGTTTGAAGATGAATATCACCACATTAATTGGCATAAATACACATCCGTAGACTCTTATCACTATCCAGATGAAAGACAATAGGAGTCTGGAATCACCGACCATTTGCTCCTGTTTTCCTCCAAATTCCAAAAACTGACTCGTTTATATTTGATACAGATTTTGTACCATCTTTGATTTTCTCCGATTTGGAAACCATGGAAAGGAAGATTATGTATGTCACAGAAGAAAGGAAAAACATTGACATTGTTTATAACTCAAGTGGTTGTGTTCGTGTATACTTTGAGGGGAACGTTCAGATTTCTCGAGAATTCAGAGAGTTTTATCTAGTGGAGGCGTTTGTTCGAGCTTATCATGTGATCCTATATTTACTATTAAATTCCACAAAAGGACTACGATCCTTTCATCCTCAAAATAGGACTAATACATGCCCCTTCTTACCATTCTACCCCTTCTTATAATTTCTAATAGATTTACTTTATTACCACAAAAATCATAATTTTATTTATTATAATAATATAAAAAATCATAAAAATATTTATAAAGTAATAATAAAAACGTGAAATAATAAAATGAATAATAATAAAACATATTTAATTTTTTTAAGAAGTCTAAAAAATAATACAAAATATCTAAAAATATTTAAAAAAATACGTAGGTCACTTCCACCGCGCACTCCACCTCTCAGCATCACCAGCTCCAGTCTCCAAAAAAATGTTGTCTTGTGTAAAAAATATCGCATTTCTCTGAAAATGACATGAAGATGACATATTTACTCTTCAAAAATATCTAGCCTCCTTTTCAGAATTGCCATCATGGTGAAGTTTTTATTAACTTGGCATTCATTTCCAGAGACCGGAGGTGGCGGGGCTGGAAGGTGGTTGAGGTGGTGGTCAACACCTGTATATCTTTTATTTATTTTTTATGTTTTTATTTTTATTTTTATTTTTTTACGTTTTATTAGTATTATTAAAAAAAATCCTATTAAGAATGATGATTAGGGAAAGGGTAGAATAGGAAGAGTTAGTCCTATTTCGGGAATTTAAATTTGAAGCTTCTATTGTTACAATTTTGCTATAATTTAGTCCTATTTCGGAAAATCTCCCTGAATATAATAGCTGCGTCATAAAAACAAAGTAATATCAAGCAAAAAAATTAAATTTATACTGAGTATAATCAAGTAAAAAGATGATGAAGAATTAATTAAGACATCATAAAGAGCACAAATCTAAGAAGGAGGAGAGAAGATGAGGCTCAAAGAAAATAAAGAAGTTGAGAAAAAAAAAGTTTGATAAGAAATAAGTAACACTAGAAGATCAACAACCGCTGTCCTAGCAACTTGAAGCTCCTTACATTCCCTCCACTTTTTTTCCCTCCACTTTTCGTGACTATGGACGAAATGGAGAATGGGGATATGGAGTATGGACAAGCCTCTTGCAGACTCTCCGACCTCTGTTCTTGAGGACGAGGACCCCTCTAAGGAAGAACTTAAAGTGGAAGAAGAAGTATTATGCGATTCAAAAAATGGGGCTTCTTCTTTTATATCAGAATCCATGGTGATGGAAAAAGAGGTGCTTTTGGAAAACCGTGTGTAGGAGGAAGAAGAAAATATAGAGGCAGTTGATTTGAACGAAACCCAGTTCTCAAAATTGGACGAGCTTCTGACTTAGACACAGCTTTATTCAGGATTTCTGCTTGAGAAAATGGATAATATCAATGTGGGTCAGGATGGAGCGGAAGAAGGAGAGGTCAAACCACTTGAAGAAACTAAGAGAGGACAATAAAAAGGCAAAGAAAGCTGTTCCAGCAATGCACACAAGAATAAAAGAAGGCGATTCTCCAAACTATTCAGCCCTGAGTGAAGTGGAGAAAGCTGACAAGGAACAATCCAAGCTTGCACCATTGCTGACTAGTGGGAAGTTGAAGTCTTATCAAATTAAAGGAGTGAAATGGATGATCTCATTGTGGCAAAATGGAATCCTTGCTGATCATATAGGACTTGGGAAAACAATCCAAACGATTGCATTTCTTGCACACTCAAAAGGAAATGGTTTGGTTGGGCCTTTCCTTGTCAGCCCCTCTTTCTACCCTCTCAAATTGGTTGAATGAAATTAATAGGTTCACGCCATCAATGAATGCAATCATTTACCACGGTAGCAAGAAGGAAAGGGATGAGAGAATAAGGAAGCAAATGCCAAGGGCGATAGGTCCCAAATTCCCTATTGTAATAATTACATCATGTGAAGTTGCAATGTGTGACGCAAAAAAGTATCTGCGGCATTATAATTGGGAATATGTTGTGGTTGATGAGGAACACCGATTGAAAAATTCAAATTGCAAGTTGTTGAAGGAATTAAAACTCCTATCGGTAGAAAATATGCTCCTATTGACCGGAACACTTCTCCAGATTAACTTGGCAGAGCTTTGGCCCCTTTTGAGTTTTATTCTACCTGATATATTCTCATCCCACAAAGAATTTGAGGCATGGTTTCACTTTTCTGGTAAGGGAAATGACGAAGATTCAAAAGAGAATTTGGCACAGAATAGGAAAGCACAAGTTGTTGCGAAACTCCATGCAATGGGTTCACCTTCTCTCCATTTCTTTCTCTCCATTTCCCCTCCATTTCTTTTTTACTTCCTATCTATCTCTACCTTTTTCTCTATCCTACTCACCAACCTACCCCACCCTTAATTCTCTCCTCTCTATATCTCTCATACTGGAACTCTCCAGTTACTGGAGAGGATCCAAATTCCCATGCAATGGCTCTAACTCATCGGCCGTCTAAATTAAAGTTGAAGACACTATACATCATTATTGACATCTAACTTTAAATTTTTTAGAAAAGTGTATATAGGGGTGAGCAAAAATAGCGAAATATCGGTATACTGCACTTACCGTACCGAAAAATATCGGAAAATACCGAAATATTGGTATACCGTTATTTTCGGTACGGTATCATACCGTACCGGTTTATTTCAGTACGGTAACGGTAAATGTTTTCAAATACTGTGGTAAACCGGTATAATACCGTACCGATTTCCTACTCAACAATTACTTTTAATTCTAATATATTGTAAAAATCGGTTACAATTTTGAAGCCCAAAATTAATACTTAATTTGGTTACAAATACAAAAATAAAGGCCCAATTTCTCAAACTCACTATAACTTTATAGGCTTCTATTACGCTAACCTTAAATGACGAATGAGTAATGTACATGTTGGGATATAATATCCCGGCCTATTATTGTTTAGGAGCCCAAGACTTACGTAGTACGAAGCCCAATCAGTGAAGCCCATTTTTAGCCTATCAGCCTGTTTCGGCCTTTGGGCCCATTTCGGCTCAAACACTCAAAACAGTATGGGGAATTCTATTTGTAGCCTCACATTTACTATTCACAGCCACAACATATTAAACGTAAATAGTTATATTTTTTAGATTCCAATTTTAGCCTTCCATCTAAATCAACTCGATCATACACACAGCCTCCATTCCACTCATCCTCTCGCCTTCAAACTACCTGAAGCTCCTTGAATTGGAGATGATGTTGCGTAGATCTATCAAAAGTGAATGAAGATCCTACTGTCCCTCTTTCTACTGCTTCTTCTTCGACTACCTGGCTCCATCCCCATAGACTTGGTCATATTCCGAAATTCGAACTAGAACATAGGAAGGGTAGAAGGGATTCCGGTTATTTTCCGGCAAGATAATTGTTCCTATCGAAGAATCAGGCCGGTCAGCTTTACTCTTAAATCATTTTGTTGAGCTTTTTGATTCATTGATTTTGTTCGGAACCACTGTAGTTGTTTACCCAGGAGCGGCGAAGTTGAATTCTCTCATTTGAAATTGATTCCCTGTATCCTTTTCGTTCATCTTTGAAAATTTGGAGTAATTTTTTCCCTCTTCCTTTCAAGTTTATTTCAATGGAGTTCCTCTGTGTTGGTGGATTGAATGGAGTTTCTCTGTTTGCGTAATCGATGTATGGGGCTGAATGAATTGGGTTTGGCTGACTCCGTAACTCCCAGTGAGTTATTTTTCTACATAAGGGTAATTTGGATAAATTAATTAATTTATTTTAGGAAAAATTGAAAATAATAATCCCAACTATTACCGGTCCGCTGAAAATAATCCAAACTATTGATTATTTTTGTATAATTCCAACTATATAGACTATCCGCCAATAATGGTCCATGACCATATATTACCTCTATAAAAAGTGAATTTTAAATAGAAATTAAGCATAAAAATTAAAAGTTGAGATTATTTAGAGGGATTACTTGTTAAATAGAAACTACAAGAATTTATTCATAGGGACCATTATTGGCAGAAGGTCCCTAAAGTTGGGATTATTCTGTAATAATCAATAGTTGGGATTATTATGAGCGGACCGCCAATAATTGAGATTATTACTATCAATTTTTCCTTTATTTTATTAATTAATATTTAATTTAGTGGCTGTGATTAGCAATTTGGGGGCTGTAAATAGAATTACCCAAACAGTATTTATACACATTTATACTGATTTTCAACAAAAAATCGATACCTCATGAACCAATTTCATCAAAAAAAAAAAAAGAAGAAAAATGGATTCTGAGAAGTTCTAGATCTGGGAAGAAAAATAAATGACTCAGAGGGAGGAAGAAACGAAGGAGCTTCGGAAATTGGGAAGCCAAATCTGGATTTCTGTTTCCAGATCTGTTTTTGAAGTCGCCGGAGCCGCCACCACCGTCCCCGCCGGCAGGGAGCCTCCGCGGTGTCAGCCGGCATCAGACGGAGCTCGCTTCAGCACCCCAAATCTCGTAACACCTGCAACTTAGGTGCTCGTCACGCGCAGCTGCTTCCACTGTCTCAATCGCCCGTCCGCCGCTTGACGTCAACCATCAACCGCTCACCAACCCTCCACCTGGTGGAACACCGCTCGAGCTTCCTCGAGCCTGCTGAGGCGACCAAGGGATCTGCCATTTGAGAGTTCCATGATTTCCGCCATTAATGGCGGCTTGGAGCTCAAGGGAGGTACATTTTTCAAGCCCCTCCGGACCCCCACAAGACCGGCCTCCGTCGTTTCCCTTGCGCCGCGAAAACCGCCGTACCGCCCTCTGTCCGAAAGTTACGGAGTGCTGCATATCACTCAGATGTCTTGGTCCTCAGGAAGCCACGTGAGGAGGATGAAGGATGGCAGATGGTCAAGTTGGAGCATCTTGACCAAGTCAAAATTCCAAGGAAACCAAATCAAATTGACATGCTGGCCGAACTTCTGCACCAAAGATATATTTGGCATGGGAGACCTTGCACTGTTGAGCAGCAGGAAACGTGGCACCAGTCTTAGGCTCTGTTTGCAAACCCAACTGAGAAGTGCTTTTAACTTTTTTAAATGATTTGGTAAAAAAGTGATTAATAGTAAAAGTTGGTAGTGTTTGAGAAAAAAGTGATTTTGAAAAGTAAAAGTTGGTGGTGTTTGATAAAATAAGTGCTTTTTGTGTAATAGAAAAAGTGAAAAGCAGATTCTAGCTTTTAGCTTTTAAGTGATTCATTTAAGTAGAAGTTGTCATTTGAAAACATCTTTTTTAGCTTTTTTAAGCCAAAAGCTGGGAAGTGCTTTTTTAGTTGTGTTTGCAAACAGAGCCTTACCTCATGAAGTGGGGATATTAATCTTACCAAGTCTTGCACTTCAAAAGAGCTAAGTATCACTTATACTTTCTCATTTACCAAATGATTAGTTTACAATAATATTACTGCTATCAGCTTTTATCACCATTATTTAAAAGGGAATAAATTTTCCCAAAATTAAATAATGCGGAGCAAAGCTCTAGTGATAATTAGTTCCTCCAACATTTTACTAGATACTTAATTTTTTGTGGCCCGTTGGCCCACTCTTGATCAGCTTGATTAAGCGATCCGAGCCTCTCCAGAGGGCGGTGCCCCGACGACGCATTTTAATTTGGGGGTTACGCATTAGTCCGCACGGCACCAAGAAGCTGTTCTCTTCGCCTGATCTGAATGTTTCTGATCTGAATTTTTTAAGTTCTGATCTGATCTGATCTGAATTTTTCTGATCTGATCTGATCTGATCTGAATCTGTCTGATCTGATCTGATTTGATCTGAATCTTTCTGATCTGATCTGATCTGATCTGAATTTTTCTGATCTGATCTGAATGTTTCTGATCTGGTCTGATCTGATCTGAATGTTTCTGATCTGATCTGAATCCTTCTGATCTGATCTGAATCTTTCTGATCTGATCTGATTCGAATATTTCTATGATTATAATTATAATTATAATTATAATGATAATTATAATTATAATTATTATAATTGCAATTACAAATATAATTTAAATAAAATTATAATTATAATTGTAATTATAATTACAATATTTATCTCTATAATTGTAACTATAGTTATCAATATTATTATAATTACTCCGTAAAATAATTACAATAGTAATAATAATAATAATAATATTAATAATTATAATAAAAATAATAATTATAATCATAAATTATAATTATAATATAATTATAAGTATAATTATAATTATTATAATTATAATTAATAATAATTATAATTATATTAACATTAATTATAATATTATAATTTAATAATAGTAATATAAATACAATTAATATTATTATAACGATATTATTATATTAATATTATTATTACAATAATATAATAATAATATTATTACAATAATATAATAATAATATGATTATTATTTTAATTAGTATTATATTATTATAATATTATATTATAATTATAATTATAATCATAATTATAATTATGATTGTAATTATAATTATAATTATTATAATTATCATTAATTACAATTATATTTATAATTAATTATAGATATAATTATAATAATTACAATTGATTATACTTATAATTATAATAATTATAATTGTAATTAATATTATAATTACATATAATTATAATATAATATTATAATAATATTAATCATATTATTATTATTATTATTATTATTATTATAATATTGTAATAATAATAATAATAGTCTTCTTAACAATTGCATTTATATTACTATTATTATATTAAAATATTATAACTATTATTAATATCTTTTTTTTATCATATTATTATTAATATTATTAATAATAATTATATAATACTCCGTAATAATCATAATAGTAATAACAATATTAATAATAATAATTAATATTTAATATAATAATAAAAATGATAAATCATGTTTGAACTTTTCTGATCTGATCTGAACTTTTCTGATCTGATCTGAATGTTTCTGATCTGGTCTGATCTGATCTGAATCTTTCTGATCTGATCTGAATCTTTCTGATCTGATCTGATCTGATCTGAATCTTTCTGATCTGATCTGATCTGATCTGAATTTTTCTGATCTGATCTGATCTGATCTGAATTTTTCTGATCTGATCTGATCTGATCTGAATAAAATAAGAATAAGCAATAAGTAATAAGAATAAGACGAACAGAACAGCACCCAAGTGCCTGATTGACGATCGTACCTTAGTACCATCTACGCCACTAGGCGTGAAATGACGGTTGCCAAACGCGGCCTGTGGGGCCCGAGGGCAGCAAAGAAGCTCAACCTCATTTTTTCAAGGGCAGAGCGGCAACGTGGGTCTGAGTTTTCAAACTCACAGACCAATGATTATTTTTATGAGACGTTCGGCAGGCTGCTAAGTGGCCCCGCCGCGAGCTGCCACGTCTAGTAATCCCGCACGACGAGCCGGGCCGAGGGTCACAATGACCCGTAGGCCTGGCAATCGTGAGCGTGAACAAGAAGAAAGCCACGCAGATGGCTATGTATATATATTGTCGGGCCGTGCAGCCTGTTACCATGTTAATTATGCAGTCAAGGTTGCTCGACGCGCTCGAGCAGAAGATTAAATGACACTCGGCATGAGTAAGAATACTTGTAAGCACAATGCATGCTTTGATAACAAGCCAAATGCGCCACATTTATGATGCATGCCTATATAAGGAGTCAGGGGATGGATGCTTCAATTCATTGAACATAGCTTGGTTGATCTATCAACTGATGAGTTAGCTATAGTTAAAGACCAAATATGAAGACAAGTCTAGTGCTCATGTTCATACTGTTCATCACGGTGGTCGTCCATGCTGCTAATAATTGTCCGGCTCCTGCCCCTTCGTCATGGCTATGGGTTGGCTTTCGGTTGGCCTTGCTCTGGTCTCCGGGCTACTGCACAATACCGGGAATTGCGACTTTGCAAGGAGAAAAGATGAGTTCACGATTCATGGTATGTGGCCTTTCAATGAGACGGATCAGAGTCCTATTCCCGCGGGCGCCGTCCCATATATGATCCAACTCTGGTTAGTCCCGGTGAATTGCATATATGTTAGCTAGCTAGCTCTACTTTAATTACTTGAATTCATGTATATGTAAATGTATATCTGGCCATTAGCTAGCTATAAACTTTTAAACTGAGTAACGTCAGTTATACTATATATAGTATATTACTCGATCATGATTGTTTTGTGTGTTCTATTATGTGACTACAGATTGTTGGTGATTTGAGAAATGGATTAAACGTGGACTGGACGAACTACGAGAGCAGGAAGACAAACGAGGTTCTGTGGGCATATGTGTATAACAAACACGAGGTCATATCAATGGGTTTGCTGGCGTAGGTTCAGTATTTCGAGAAGGCGTTGTCTCTGCACAACCAATACAATGTAAAAACGGCTCTTTCGGAGCAAGGCATCACCCCGATCCAAATGTAGTGCAGTCTGGCAAGTTCCTGAACGCCGTCATGTTCTTGGTGAATGTCACGCCAAACCTGAGGTGTGAATTGAAGACAGCACAACGGATCTCTACTTCAAGGAGGTCTGGTTTTGCTTTGATTACTTCGCCAAACTCCCCAAGCCATGTCCTCCTCTGCCCGACACTTTCCTTGGGAAGTTTATTTACAAAAGTGGCGTGTGATTGATGCAGATCTTCTGGCTTCTCGATCTTTTATTTACAAAAGCGGCGTGTTAACATGCATGCGTAAAAGATCGAGATGCATCAATCACATGCTGCTTTTGTAAATAAACTTCCCAAGACAAGTGTCGAGCAGAGGAGGACATGGCTTGGGGAGGTTGGCAGAGTAATCAAAGCAAAGCCAAACCTCCTTCAGGTAGAGACTCCTTGTCCCCGTCTTCACTTCACACCTCAGGTTTGGCGTGGCATTCCCCAAGAACATGACGGCGTTCAGGAACTTGCCATACTGCACTCCATTTGGATCGGGAGTGATGTCATCCTTCGAAAGAGCCGTTTTTACGTTGTATTGGTCATGCAGAGACAACTCCTTCTTGAAGTACTGCACCTGCGCTAGCAAACCCGTTGATATGACCATGTGCTTGTTATACTCACAGGCCCAGAAATCTTCGTTTGCCTTCCCAGTCTCGTAGTTCGGCTAATCCATGTTTAATCCATTTCTCAAATCCCCAACAATCTACAGTCACGTAATACAACACACAAAACAATGATCAATAATATACTAGTATATATAACTGACGTTATTCAGTTTAATTAAAAGTTTATAGCTAGCTAGCTATTAATGCATATGCGTTTACATATACATGATTTCAAGTAATTAAAGTTGCAATTCACCGGGACTAACCAGAGCTGGACCGAATGGGATGATGCCCCCAGGAATTGGAGGTCTCTGATCCGTCTCATTGATACCGTGAATCGTGAACTCATCTTTTATTCTTGCAGTGTCGCATTTCCCGGTTATTGTGCATTAGCCTGGAGGCCACAGAAGGGCCAACCCATGGCCATAGCAGGGCCAACCCATGGCCATAGCGAAGGGGTTCAGGAGCCGGGCAATTGTTAGCAGCATGGACGACGACCGTGATGAACAGTATGGACATGATTAGCACTTGACTTGTCTTCATATTTGGTCTTTAACTGTAGCTAACTAGCTCGTCAATTGATGGATCAACCAAGCTATATATGTCCAGTGAAGCTAAGCATCCATCCCCGACCTCCTTATATAGGCATGCATTATATATGCGCCGCGTTTGGCTTGTCTTCATATTTGGTCTTTGAAAATTCATAATATACGTACTCCGTACGTATTTGTACGTTGATGAATAAACCACCGAATTCCAGTGTGCTTATTAGCTACTAGTATGTTATACATAGGGCAGAGAATCATATGAACCCAAATTTATGTTGACCAAAATGTGTAATTATTGGAACACACCACAAACAAATTACCCTTTACCAACACCAATTCATACCAACATGGGATTAGTGCTGGTGTAGAATAGCTATACCTACAATTAATCTACTATGTTGGTAATAAACTAATAACAATATAGATATCAACATATTCAAATTTTTGTTGGTATAGGTTATGCATTTTCTACACTAAAGTTCATCTATTGGTTTAGTGATATAATATATCAACAATCATAATTAAAAGTGTAAGTAAAAGTCTAACCCATAAATTATGGAAAAATGAATTCTAATGTAAAAAAAAGTTGAAATTTATAAACCGACAGTAAATCTTTTCATCGGCTACTAGCCTACTGTATTTCATTTATAAACCGACAGTAAATCTTTTCATCGGCTATTCACTGTTCACACTTTAACCCTCCGACAACGATCCGTTACAATTTCCATTCAGCCCTCAAACTCCGCCCTCTCTTTGCCACACTAGCAATCGAGAAGGAGATCGAAGCGGATCAGAGACAAATTTCCAACCTCACTCTCGTTGACGCGAAAAAATCGTTGCATTAACACTTCTTTTAATTTGAATTTCAATACATATTGTTCTTCATTACACTACTGTTATGTGTTTCAATGTGTCTGAAGCGGAAAGGCCAGGATGTAATAAGTTTACAATAAACCAAAGAATGGCGGCATACTTTATAGGAAAAATTGATAATAATAATCCCAACTATTGGCGGTCCGCTCATAATAATCCCAACTATCGATTATTTCAGAATAATCCCAACTTTAGGGACCTTCCGCCAATAATGGTCCCTATAATTAAATTCTTGTAGTTTCTAAAGTGGATGAGAAAAAAGATATAACAAGTAATCCCTACAAATAATCCCAACTTTTAATTTTTACACTTAATTTCTATTTAAAATTCACTTGTTATAGGAGGTAATATCTGGTCATGGACCATTACTGGCGGACGATCCATATAGTTGGGATTATACAAAAATAATCAATAGTTGAAATTATTGTTAGCAGATCGGCAATAGTTGGGATTATTATTTTCAATTTTTCCTACTTTATAATGTTAGCATCGTATAGCTCTAGGTTTAGTCTTTCAATGACATGTTTTTTTGTTAACTAGGTAGAAGTTTGACCGTTTTCATAGGTTTTTAGGTGCCTTTATTTGTAGATTCATTCTAATAGAAACACATTTGCTTAAAATCCTACTGTTTTCACGTATTTTGAAAACCAAGCTAATCAGTTATACTTGTATTCTTTGGGAGATCTGTATGGACTTGTTGGGTTTGGATGTGGTATTGTTGGCCAAGGAATTGCAAATCTAATAATGACTGCCAAACGGTATGTCTTTCCTAATATATATATTTATTACATATATTTCTATAAGCATTCCTTCTTTTATGCTCCATTTCAAAAATGCGGCTTTACTTTTTCTCTTTGATTGCTGATAAGAACAGAAAAATAACAATCAACGGGGTAAACCGTTGCCCAGAATAATCAACGGAAGAATCCGTTGCCCAAGCTAATTTAGCCTAACAAATCTGAATTTCATTCCCCCTCCCTTTGAACAGCCCTACGTAGGGTATATATTATCCCTTTTACAACCAAGTCATGTTCCAGTAGGATACTAACTAAACTAATTAATTGTACGCAACCTATGTTCCAGTGGGAAACAATCTTCCGCACCAAGCCTAACCTGCGGACTAAAATTAAATAATAAAGTAGAGTCCTAATCTAATAAAAGAATTATTACTAAAAGAAATAACATAAATAAATCTAAATAAAATTAATATCTCAGCCCATGGATAACCCAGCCCATAACCGGCCCACAGAAGTGGACCCAAGCCCGTTCCCGCCCCATGCTCTTCCCGCTCTCTATCAATACATCCTTCTTCAAAATAACCTTGTCCTCAAGGTTGAAATCTCACAGAATGGGTACTGAAATTTCTAGCAATAGAATAGACTGGAAAATATCCTTCCTCTCCTTGAACCCTTTCTTGGCCGGTTATTTCACAGTACTCATGTTGTTGGAGGTCCAACTCTTCATCCTCCTCAGCTATCATTACCCGCAACTGTTTAAAGGGACAGTCATGTCCTGGTGTAAATGGTTTCTTACACCTAAAGCATAATCCTTTCGCCCGCAATTCTGCCAACTCTTTCGGCGGAAGTCGAGTGAACTGAGGGCGTGTAGTAGGCTGCCTGGACAGTCCTGACTTCATCCCCGGGGGCTGTCCACTATCTTTCGAAAAGCTGTTATTCCCTTCTTGTATGCTGCCACCACTTGCAGTCAACGGAGGTCTTGTGATTGGCATTAAAAAGCTGCTGGGACGTACCCCTGAAGAAGTATAATACGGGCTGCCACTTTCTTCACTTTGGATGGACAGATTATGCTCCACATCGCGAGCTAATTCCATAGCGGTTTCAAGGTTATGTGGTCGGAATAAGCGTATTGAGCTCCGTATTGCTTCTTTAAGTCCGCTCATGTAATACCCTAGATAATGATCATCAGTCAGCCCCGGAACTTGGCTAGCCAATTGAACGAACAAGTCATTATACTCCTCCATGGTCCCAAGTTGTTTGACGCCAGACAATCGTTCAAATCGGTTCCCCTGGAATCGGGAATCGAATCTCGCTATAAGGGCTTGCTTAAATTCTTCCCAAGTCATGCCGGGTTTACGCGCCTTCAACCAGGTTACCCAATAAAGGGCCCCTCCTTCCATGGACACCACGGCGGCTGCCACCTTTTTATCCGGTAGAGTTCCAATTAATTCGAATTGTTGTTCGGCACGAGCTATCCACCCGATTGGGTCTGTTCCGTCAAATGCGGGTAACAAGGTTGAAGCCGGGTTGTGCAGCACTCCTACGGTCGGCGATATCAAGGCGGATCCAACTCCTGCCGCGGCGGCGTCTGGCGATTTCGGCGGCACCAGGGCCTGAGTCAGCGCGGCCAGAGAGGCGGCGATTTCCGTTAGCTTGGCACTGTGATCTGCCAGCTCAGCCCCCAGTCGGGCCACTTCCTCTCCCATTCGGTGTTGCTCAGTCTCTAACTCGGTCAATCGATCGTTCTGAGATCTCGTCATCCTGGCGGGATGGGATCCGGCAGGTCGGACCAATTGATAAGAACAGAAAAATAATAATCAACGGGGTAAACCGTTGCCCAGAATAATCAACGGAAGAATCCGTTGCCCAAGCTAATTTAGCCTAACAAATCTGAATTTCATTCCCCCTCCCTTTGAACAGCCCTACGTAGGGTATATATAATCCCTTTTACAACCAAGTCATGTTCCAGTAGTATACTAACTAAACTAATTAATTGTACGCAACCTATGTTCCAGTGGGAAACAATCTTCCGCACCAAGCCTAACCTGCGGACTAAAATTAAATAATAAAGTAGAGTCCTAATCTAATAAAAGAATTATTACTAAAAGAAATAACATAAATAAATCTAAATAAAATTAATATCTCAGCCCATGGATAACCCAGCCCATAACCGGCCCACGGAAATGGACCCAAGCCCGTTCCCGCCCCATGCTCTTCCCGCTCTCTATCAATTGCTGACTCTCCAATTTTGATTCAAGGGTGTAAAGAAATAAGAAGAAGATGTACATGTTCCTCCTCTGATAAAGAGTGCAGCACTATGGAGTATGCCTCAATTAATTTCTATTAGGATACATGAATATTATTGATCACTCTGGTAATTAAAGTTGCCAATGGAGGTGTATGACTTTTTACCACCCATATTATCTACAGGTGTTTTCTTAGGAGTATCTTCAAATACGCGATTGCAGATTGTCACTGGTTTGGAGAGGCTAGTGGAATCAGCGCCAGCAGCAAAGCAATATCCACCCGTAGCAATGGCATTCACAGTTGGCGTGCGGTTCGCCAATGACCTGGACCTACAAATTAGTGTTCACAGTGGAGGTGTATGACTTTTTACCACCCATATTATCTACAGGTGTTTTCTTAGGAGTATCTTCAAATACGCGATTGCAGATTGCCACTGGTTTGGAGAGGCTGATGGAATCATCGCCAGCAGCAAAGCAATATCCACCCGTAGCAATGGCATTCACAGTTGGCGTGCGGTTCGCCAATGACCCGGACCTACAAATTAGTGTTCACAGTGGAGTAGGAGGTCCTACTGTTTTCTCCAAACTGGATTTGAAATCGGGATACCACCAGATAAGAATGAGGGAAGAGGACAGACACAAGACAGCGTTCTGCACCCATGAAGGACATTACGAGTACCTTGTAATTCCCTTTGGACTGACCAACGCACCTTCCACTTTCCAAGCATTGATGAATCAAGTTTTGAGGCCCTACTTAAGGAAGTTTGTGTTAGTTTTTTTTTATGACATTCTCATCTAGAGTCAGTCAGAAACTGAACACCGGGAATATTTACGGATAATCCTACAAGTACTCAAGGATAATCAACTATATGCTAACAAGAAAAAGTGTGTGATAGGGCAGAATCAGCTAGCTTATTTGGGTCACCTGATTTCTGGTGAGGGAGTATCAGCTGATCTAGGGAAGGTAGAAGACACGCTGGAATGGTCAGAACCTAGAGATGTGAAGGGGTTGAGGGGTTTTCTGGGCCTAACAGGCTATTATCGGAGGTTTGTGAAGGGATATAGTAAGATAGCAGCCCCTCTTACTAATCTATTGAAGAAAGATGAGTTCAAATGAAATCCCTCTGCGTCCCAAGCTTTTGAACAATTAAAGAAAGTTATGACAACCTTACCCGTACTTAAGGTACCTGATTTCAGCAAGATCTTTGTGATAGAAGTTGATGCATCTGGAACAGGACTAGGGGCAGTCCTAATGCAAGAGGGAAGGCCAGTTGCTTACATGAGTAAGGTGCTATCCCAAAGAAATCAGAATAAATCTGTGTATGAGCGCGGATTGATGGCCATAGTACTGGCTATTCAGAAATGGAGGCCTTACCTTTTGGGCAGAATGTTTGAGGTGAATACGGACCAGAAGAGTTTTTACCTGAAATCAGGTACCTTAAGTACGGGTAAGGTTGTCATAACTTTCTTTAATTGTTCAAAAGCTTGGGACGCAGAGGGATTCCATTTGAACTCATCTTTCTTCAATAGATTAGTAAGAGGGGCTGCTATCTTACTATATCCCTTCACAAACCTCCGATAATAGCCTGTTAGGCCCAGAAAACCCCTCAACCCCTTCACATCTCTAGGTTCTGACCATTCCAGCGTGTCTTCTACCTTCCCTGGATCAGCTGATACTCCTCACCAGAAATCAGGTGACCCAAATAAGCTAGCTGATTCTGCCCTATCACACACTTTTTCTTGTTAGCATATAGTTGATTATCTTTGAGTACTTGTAGGATTATCCGTAAATATTCTCGGTATTCAGTTTCTGACTGACTCTAGATGAGAATGTCATAAAAAAAAACTAACACAAACTTCCTTAAGTAGGGCCTCAAAACTTGATTCATCAACGCTTGGAAGGTGGAAGGTGCGTTGGTCAGTCCAAAGGGCATTACAAGGTACTCGTAATGTCCTTCATGGGTGCGGAACGCTGTCTTGTGTCTGTCCTCTTCCCTCATTCTTAATCTGGTGGTATCCCGATTTCAAATCCAGTTTGGAGAAAACAGTAACACCCCCAAGTTCATCTAGTAGTTCTTCAATTATAGGTATAGGAAATTTGTCAGGTATGGTTATCTTATTCAAAGCCCGGTAATCACCACAAAATCTCCACCCACCATCATTCTTTTTGACCAACAATACCGGGCTGCTGTATGGGCTGGTGCTGGGTTGAATAATTCCTGTATTTAGCAATTCCTTGACAATCTTCTCTATTTCATCCTTCTGGTAGTGAGGGTATCTGTAAGGCCGGATATTAGGAATTTCAGCTCCCTCCTTGATGTTTATAGTATGATCACAGCTCCTCTTTGGAGGTAACCCCTAGGGTATTTGAAATACCTCTTGATGTTGGTTCAACATTTCTTCCCGATGACTCCCAGGTGTAGCTCCAGTTATTGGTATTGTTGGAGAGCTCTCACAAGAAATGTAAAACCCCTGGCCTTTGTTTTTCAGAGCTTTCACCATTGTCTTCCAGGAGGCCTTCACTTGACTTAGTGTGAGATCTCCCTGCAGTTTTCTTTCTCTTCCATCTTCATACCATTTGATAGTAAGGCATTGAAAATTGAATTCTACATTACCCTAACTGGCCAACCATTCACCCCCCAACACCAAATCAGTACCTCCCAGCTCCAGAATGTAGAAGTTTTGTGTAATACCAATGCCTTGCATCTGAATTTGCATCCCCATACATCTCCCATTGTTGCTAATCCTGTCTCCATTGCCCAGTTCTACTTGAAACCCTTCAATTTCCATGTATGGTAACTTTTTTGCTTCCACCAAAGTGCGAGAGATGAAGTTGTGAGGAGCTCCACTATCCACCAGCATCAGTACTGTTCTGTGATGCCCGTATATCAGCAACTCTCCTTCCAGTTTGAATGTTTTGGGCGTGGTGATCCCTTGTTTACTCATGGCAGACAAAAGCATAGGTTGGGATTCTACAGAGGTAATCTCTAACTCTGTTTCCCCTTCCTGAACATCCTTCACTTCCTCTTCGTCTGGCTCATCCACAATAATAAGCTGGCTGTGTTTCATTTGGCATACATGTTCCTTTCCCCACCTTTCCCCGCATTTAAAACATAACCCCTTCCTGCTTCTTTCTTGTAGTTCAGTTTGTGTCAACCTCTGACTTTGTTTCCAGTTGGTGTTTGGTTCAGTAGATTCCACCACACGGTTTTCAGCTTTAATTTTGTCAACAGCATTGGCTTGGGACTTCCATTTGCTTCCATCTATCCATTGTTGTGGTTTAGCCAGTGTTCCTCCCTTTTCCTTTCCCCATCTTTGTTCTCCCTCCTTCAGTTTGCCACCTCTTAGGGCAGCATTCTTTCCTTCCAGAACCGTAGATATATCCATAAGCTCAGGTAGTGTAGCTTTAGGATACAATTTCAGTTCTTCCTTCACCTCATCCTTTAACCCATTAAGGTATATTCCTTTCAACATTTGCTCATCAGTGTTTTTCAAGGTCCCAACCACCATTTCATAACGTTGCCTGTACTCCATCACTGAACCAGTCTGCTTCAAACTGAGCATTGGCCCAAAAGGATTCTGTAAAAGCTCCGGTTGGAATCTCCTCATAAGTGCATCTTTGAACAATTCCCAGGTTCTCTCCTCTGTCTTCCCCTCCCACCACTGAAACCAGTTCAATGCTTTTTCTTCCATAGCCAACATCACCAGTTCCATCTTCTCCTGCTCGGTTACCTGATTTAATTTGAAGAACCTCTCTACTCTAATAATCCATCCACGAACATCTTCACCATTAAACAAAGGCAAATCCACCTTCCTACCAGTCCTTTCAAAGCCTCTATTCACACGATATTGTTCATGTACGTAAGAGGAGTGTGGCGACACATGCGGATTACCTTGGGAGGGCGACGACGAACCAGTACTCGCAGTAGAAGATCGACGCCGATGTGTTCGCGATCTACCCCTGGACTTCCGTCGATCCTTGTTCACCGTCATTTGTCGCAACTCATGTAAGTCGGCCATCATTTCTTCCATCGAGCTCCGCATATTACGCATTTCATCCACCACGGATTGCACTTTTGTGTTGTTTCGTTCCATGTTCTGTTCAATGCTATCCAGTCGATTTTCCATTTTCAACCTCGTAAATCTCATTCACAGGTTACAGGACAGACGACTCTGATACCAATGATAGATATCTAAATCTGTAAACTGAATTTTATTAAGGAGTAAGGAATTTTGAGGAATTCTCAGAGTAATTCCGTAGATGTACAGAGGGAAAAGTATGTAATAAGGAATCTAGAGGAAGAACAATGACAATTTCTCTCTCTGGCCCAGCCCAGCCAACCAAAACAAAAAACCAGCCTACTCTTTATTAACCCTCCCGCCCCTATTTATATCTTCCCGTACTCACTTATACAACTTTATTAACTCCTGCCCCTTTTCCCTTCCTTACATACACTTTATTATAATACTCCACACCCCTTGGCCTATCAACATGGCAGCAAAGGCAATGGGGGGAAGCCGCAGATGGCTGGTTTCAATGGTGGGATTTTCAGAAGGGAGAAGATAGTTGGGAGGCTCTAAAGGAAGATTTGATTAAGGAATTTCCACCTAGACACCGGCAGAAGACAGGGAAGACAGAAAGGCAAGAATCTTCAAGGTCACGAAGAACTTCCTCCAGTTCGCAATCTTCTACGCGAACTAATGTTACCCCATGTTCGAAATTGAGTACCACTTTGCCCAGCTCGCTAATTAGTAATTAATCATCATCCTCGATCATCATCAGAAGGAATTTTTACTGATTTGCAGATGTCATCAAAGCTTTTGTCCCAGGTTTCCGAGTCAGCTCAAGCTTCTATGCGGGAAATTTCATTGAGGACACCAACTCTTGAGTGGAATATGGCTGGATTATCAGTTTCAAATGAACCTGTAATCAATATGGAACCAACTGAACCTGTAATCAAGCAAAGGAATAAGAAGGATGAAATCAAGGAGGAATGGCAGGATATTCAATGGTCAGATTCTGTTTCCCCTAATCTTGGAGACTATTTGGATTTAATTCCCAGACAAGCTGTTATGGTTGACAAGCTTGTTCAACCACGTTCTTCTGGTAGTAGAGTCCTGATTGCTCCTGAAAATGGATTACTTAAAATAAAGAAAGTTGCAGAAGATAAAGCTGTTCTTGTCAAAAGTTTATCAATGGAAATGTTTTCAGAAAATTCATACATTGATAAAAGGAGGATGGAACCAGAGGCTCAGGAGTCCCATGCTTATCCTTTCCATGGGAAATATGCTATCATCTTAGAAAACAAAACAATTCATGATGTTGGTTCTTTGCCTGCTGAGGTATCCAAATTAGTGCAAGGAGTACAGGTAGCAAAATTGCAGCTAATTGTTGAGTGCAAGATAAGCTGCCACAAGCTTGGCCTATATAATTCTTTTAAAGCACCAGAAAAACATCTAAGGTTGGGAGACATCTGTGCAAAGACAGCTCATAGCATCTTAGTTCATGAGATTACTGATTTTTTCTCAAGGTTATTACAGAAGATGGCTCCTAAGAGTTACCGGCAAACTCTAGGAAAAGTTGTTGTTACACAAAAAAATTCAGAAAATTTCTATGGTGAACCGGTTTGTTTCCTGGCAGGGTCGTTTGGAGTGCCAGAAATGCCAATGGTTTGTTTAATTGTTCTAGATGGGGGTGTAGAGTGGGGCTATTGGTTTCAGATGACTACTGTGGGTAAAGAGATCAGGGCTAAAGACGAGGGAGGTTGTAAGCCAGGCTGCCCAAAAGGCAAAGAAGATATTGCAGAGTTTCCTTCTGGCAGTTGTATATCCATAGTAGGAACAGCAGCAGATGCTCTAATTGCATGGAGTGAAGCGACTGAAACTCAAGGACTTGAGTTATATCCTGAAGCCAAAGCTATTAACAAATGGAAGGGTGAGAAATGGATGATAGGTGAAGATGTTGGAAATATAGAAGTGGAACCCTATTTGCTGGAAAGAATAGTTAAGTATCAATGTGCTGAGTATCTATGTGCAGCTTTTCCTTTGCTTAGCAATACCTCAGTATACATCTGGCAGCACAGAGCATCAGAATCCAGATTGGTGGTGGGGTTTGTAAGCTACCAGATATCTTTGGGTCTTCGGGCAATGAAGTCCATGGCTCCACAATCAGTTAGGTATTGGGAACGTAGAGGAGCAAGAAAGAAGAAGAAGCAAAAGATCTTGGCGGTTTCCTATCGCCCACCTTGAGGGCAAGGTGGATGTTTAGGGGGGGGAGTATTGATAGGAACCAGCCTATGAGAGTAGTAGAATATTATTAGAAATAATAATAATAATAGTAATAAGTGTTTGTAAGTATTCTAGTATAAATAGACGGGAAGGGGAATTAGTAAGGAGGCTTTTGGACATTCTGTCTTGGGACTGGGAAAGATCGGAGAATAATTCTCTCTATCTTTTGGGGGCTTCGGCTCATTTGGGAGGCTTTGGCCTTGGATTACTGTACTGTTCATCTTCTTCTCTAATAAAATCAGTTTGATTTCTTATTCTCTTTCTGGAATTTGTTCTGGAATCTTGGGGTATCACAATGGCATTCACAGTTGGCGTGCGGTTCGCCAATGACCTGGACTTACAAATTATTGTACACTCTGGTATTCCTTTAACAACATTTACCCTAGATATTGATCCACTTTAGTGTCTCTTTGTTGTAGGAACATCATAATTTAAGTTTAAGTTGTGTCAATCTGATATTTTCCTAAGTGTGAGACTGTGAGTGATGCTGTTGTAACTCCTGTAAGGTTATAGGGAGTATGAGCTAATATTATGAAAGGTATGTAGCTGTTGTGCTGTTGTTTTCTAAGCTTCTTATAACTTAGGTGTATTTGCTTGAGCAATGAGAGGAACTCCTATGATGATGCTCCCACGGCCTTCATGCAAGAACTCAAGAGTTTATAAAATTAAATGTTATAACCTCTAGCATGGGTGATTATCTTTTTATGAAGTGTAACACTACAAATAGTAAACTCTAAAATTTTGTTATCCACAGACAAAAATTTATCTTCTCCCTTATTCCTGAAACTATAAACAATTTTCACTGATTATCCATCCTTTACAATCTTGCTATAGAACTTATTCCTCATATACTGTACGGTGTGGGGACCCTTCAAGTGTGTTATTCGTTTTCAATTGAAATCAATTTCAATATGGACCTCATATAGTTATGGAGCTGTTTAAACTCAATTTATAAAATGTAACTCTTAAAGCTGTTTTTAAAATGTGCAGAAAAACTGTGTAAATTTGCTTAATGGGGCAATGGAATATATGAAGATAGCAAATAACGAATAAACTTCCTCTTTGTCAGGATAATTTAGGTTCCATTAAAAAAAATCCATTTTCTTTAATGTTCTCATATAAGAATGTTCATTGTTCATTTCCAGACTAAGAGAGAAAATTGATCCTTTAATGAGGCTTGGGCTATTGAAGTTTGCAACTGAGATTGAGGGTTTCACCAAAGAAACACTACCCGAGACTGAAGCTGAAATTCTACAGATTATGTGCTGCTCGATCTGAGCTTTAAAAAATCATTGTTATCTATATCAGGTGGCTTAATGATCAGGTTCATTTGTTTCTAACCATTCAATAATTGAGTACACCTCTCTCTCTGTAGTAAATTCAAACTGTATCTTTTTATTACATACTTCTGCCAGTATATAAGGTAAATTTATGATATTGGATTTTTCGTTCTAAGTTATTAATGCTTTTTGGACACTGTTAGTTAGTTTTCCTTATTTGATAAAAAAGATTAAATATAAAAATTTAAGCATTCTCTAGGACACAATATCCTAATAGCAAGAAAAATAGTCAACACAACACAAGAATAAACAAAAATTTTGAACACATTATTATGAAAAATAAAAGTCCACATCAAGAAAAGTATGTCCAATAGACTCATGTTTAAGAAAGGAATGACCAAGAAAATGAAGAATCTTCTCAAGCAGTATTAGGTAAATATGTCATATATTTGTTGTGATTTTACACCTTTCAGGTATGACATTTTTGCTTCTAAATGCTAAATACTTTTTTTGTTAAAGCTATCCCACATCGGCTCAATGTAAATGATTCAATATATTAGTGTGGAAGTCTTATATCCCAAAACAGGGAGAGCTTGAGAAACAATCATAGGGAAATAAGTGGTGCCTATAGTCAGGGGCATAATAGTTTTCCAAGTGGGCACACCTCTTGTAAGTACTGTAACAAAAAATTCAGTTTATTACATACACATCAACTAAATTTTGTGTGAAACTACCAAAATCCTTTGAGACTTCCTTAAAATTACAAATAATCCCCTTGTCTAGTGAAATATTTCACATATAAGTTATTTAGCACTGAAAGAATGTTATCAACATTCTTAAATGCATATTCACACGAGCTGTCCATTTTGAGATTGAATTTGGTGTTCTTAAATGCATGTTATCAACAAAACTGCTTAGATCTTTCTCTACAAAGAATCATTGAGATAGTTTTTAAGGGTAATTTGGTCTGCAAAAATGGTTTCCCTACTAATATAATTATAATCTATCATCTTCAGTGTTCTTTGCCCAAAATTTGACTGGTAAGGGACTGGGGGGGGGTGTTGTCTTTAGTTTTCAGAAACCTCAAGGGTCATTACGTAATTTGACCCAACCTTGACCGAGTTAGATGTAATTTACCCTAAAGGATTTAATGAAGTAGCAATGTTTACATTTGTGTATTTTACATAATATGAGTTTGTATTTTGATGGATATTGTTTGCTGATAAATTAATTATGAAATGGGTTGCCAAGGTCCTTTAGGGGTCTTGGCCTTTCGTCACTGTATTTAGCTGGAAAGGTAAAAGTGTTTGACAGAAGGGGGCATGTTGCAAAACTGTGTGTTATATGGGTTCCTCTTATAGCTGCGTCCTTAGTTGGGATTTCTAGAGTGGATGACTATAGGCACCACTGGCAGGATGTGTTTGCTGGAGGTTTACTTTGTTTGTCCCCTGTTCACATTATTTTAGACCCCGGGCTTAAACTGAGTCTGGTAGAACAGGGAGAGCTTGAGAAATAATCATAGGGAAATAAGTGGAGTTTGGGATAGGAAGCAGAGCAGTGGTTTTACTTTTAATGAATAAGTCATCTGGACTGTATGAATCATCTGATGGCTCATAGTTTAATATACCTCAATAACGGAGTTACTTTGTTAATTTACAAGTCATTAACGAATTTACTTTGCTTTTGCTAACATTTTATTATTCATGCAACTAAAGATTGTGGATTGTGAACAATTGTTTTAATTTCAGGTTTTACTTTTGGAAAACAAGAGAAAACCGCATTTGGACATCAAGTTGACTTTTTATTATGAATTTGTCATTTAAATCAAGTTCTTATATTATATTTGGGATTGTTAGTATGTGGTATTCGGATTTTTATATTAACTCAAAAGATCTTTATATTAGCTACTACGTAGTACTCCATGTTTTATGTTTCATACTTATTCAAATTATAAAAAGATTTGCACTTGAGATTTAGTGGTGATTGAAGTGTAGATTTTATTTTAATCTTCAATTGTAGTTGTATTTTAAATGTGTAGGTGTTCATGTATATGAATTTGTAAATAATTATTGTTATACTATCGTATACTACTGATAATAGAGCAATACCAACTAGAGATCAAGTGCTGATATAGCATAAGATTAAGTAAGCTTGATACAAGCTATACTAACACTAATTACATTGTTGGTACATGATAATGAGCTATTCCAAGTTTCCAAGTTCCAACTATAAGAAAGCCTATACTAACACTTAGTGCTGGACTCGGGCCGGGCGGCCCGGCCCGGCCCGGAACCGGCCCGGCCCGGTTACTGTTTGGCCCGGCCCGGCCCGGGGCCGGGTGGGTCCCTCGGTTCGGTTCGGCCCGGCCCGGCTGCTGGGCGGTTCGGGCCCGGGCCCAGGTTTTCGTGAACCGGCCCGGCCGGTTCGGGCCCGGTCCGGGCCGGATTTTATTTTTTTTTTTTTTTTGAAATTTTTTTAAGTTTTAGGTTGGATTAGGTATTTTGGGCCATTTGAGGTGGTTTGGGATGGTTTTGGGTTGAGGGGGAGGGGTAGGGGATTAAATAGGAGAACAAAAAAAAAAAATTATTGGGCTGGTTCGGCCCGGCCTGGTTTGGCCCGGAACCGGCCACCGGCGGTTCGGGCTCGGGCCTCCCTTTCCTGGCCTGAGGCCCGGCCGGGCCCAGGCCCGAACAGGGCCCGAACCGGCCCGAGTAGGCATGGCCTCGGTTCGGGCCGCCCGGCCCGGGACCGGCCCGACCCGCTACTGTGCGGGCCCGGCCTGGCCCGGTTATCCGGGTCCGGGTCCGGTTCGGGCCGGAGGACCGGGGGTGGGGCGGTTCCGGGCTCGGTTCATGGTTTTGACGGCCCGGCCCGGCCGGTTCGGGCCCGGGTCCGGGCCAAATCTATTTTTTTTTTTAATTTTTTTCATTTGTTTTAGGCTGTTGGGCTTGGGCTATGTGTTTAGGCCGGTTTGGGGGGGTTTGGGGGGGGTGGGGGGGTGAGGGGGTGGGGGAAGAAAGGAAAAAAAAAAAAAATTAAACCGGGTGGCCCGACCGGCCCGGCCGGCCCGGCCCGGCCCGGTCCGGCCCGGAACCGGACCCGGAACCGGTGGCCACCGGTTCGGGCTCGGGCCCAACAAAAAAGACCCGAGGCCCGGCCGGGCCTAGGCCCGAACCGGGCCCGAACCGGCCCGGGTCCATCCATAGGCCCGAGTCCAGGTCTACTAACACTCATACGTGACATTGTGTATTATATTATGCATTGTTTAAGTTTTAAGCATTACGTAGTCCGTAGAGGTAGTTATTTGTTGCATGCATTATTAAGTAGAGGGTTAGTGGGATACAGTTATTGTTTTTGTTTATAAATGAAAAAACCCGGTGACTCAAAGTGTTGAGGCTTTGATCACCACCACAAAAAAGAAAAACACCCGTGTTCATAGGGGTGGACTCGGGCCGGGCGGCCCGGCCCGGAACTGGCCCGGCCCTGTTACTGTTTGGCCCGGCCCGGCCCGGCCCGGGGGGTCCATCAGATCGGTTTGGCCCGGCCCGGCCCGGGGGGTCCATCAGATCGGTTTGGCCCGGCCCGGGTGATGGGTGGTCCGGGCTCGGGCCCTGCTTTAGGTGAACCGGCCCGGCCGGTTTGGGCCCGGTCCGGGCCAGATTTTAATTTTATTTTTTTTTGAAATTTTTTTAAGTTTTGGATTGGATTAGATATTTTGGGCCATTTGAGGTGGTTTGGAGTTGAGGGGAGGGGGTTAAATAGGAGAACCAAAAAAAAAATGGACCGGTTTGGCCCAGCCCGGCCCGGTTTGGCCCGGAACCGGAACCGGCCACCGGCGGTTCGGGCTCAGGCCCCAGTTTTCTGGCCCGAGGCCCGGCCGGGCCCAGACTCGAACCGGGCCCGAACTGGCCCGGGTCCACCCCTACTTGTTCATTCATATTCTGCATTCATACGCATGCATGGATATCAGTATGTAGTACTCCCTCCGTATCAAATTAATTGACCCACTTTCCTTTTTTGGTGTATCAATTTAATTGACCCATTTCCCTTTTTGGAAAGAATCTCACTCAAAAGCAGCTACAGTACTGCTACAGTGTCGCTACAGTACCAAAAACCTCTTACTTTTAATAAAGTCTACAGTAATTGTCTTAAACTACGTGAAAAGCAAACGGGTCAATTAATTTGATACGGAGGGAGTATCTTTTTGTTTACTCAACAGAAAAGCCGCACAGAGCCGGCAAAAGAAAACTCTAATTTAGGAAAAGACGGCTGCTAGTTTCAATGATTTATTAACCTACTTCATAGATACACTCATACACATACACAGCCTCACGGCTTCCGATTAGGCTTCCCATTTTATCTGTCATACTTTTCTTTTTAGGTTGTTCCAAAATAAGTGTTTCCTTTCCTTTTTTGGAAAGAAATTAAATATGTGGTCTACACCATTTAATTTTATTATATCCAAACCTCAACCACAACTTTTACTTTTTCAACCACTTCATTAATAACCGTGCCAAGTCAAACTAAGACACATAAAATGGGACGGAGGTAGTAATAAACTACAACCTCTACACTACAATAAAATAAAAAAACAGATTTTGTTGCGGGCACATTCTCCCATTAGTCCATTACATAGAACATACGTCCGCCCTAGTGCTAAACCACATGGCACCATATAAAAAATGAATATGCAAAATGCTTATACATATATGCATGTGATTATCTGTGTTAATGCACGGGTAATCTAATCACATGCATATAAGAGTCCAAAAAAGACTTACAAATTTTGAGAGTAGCGAACTTTTGGATATTGGCCCTGAGGGGAAACCCTAGGCGACCATCCCTAACCTCCTTCAAGATATGACTTTCAACCTTTTCTTTTTCAATCAACAAAAAGTTTTGGAAGATGATGAAAGATTGAATCAAAGGTTTATCTATGCTTGTGCTCTTTTTTAATTTCTTTTTTCGAGGATTTTGGTTTGGCTTCATTTGTCGAGAATTTTGTCCGCTTCATGTGAGTGTGTGATATGTTATTCTCCTAGCAATGTTTAGAGGTTGTACGTTTCTAATCGGTGTAATCGATCTGGTGAATTTTCATTGTTCTTAGTTGATAAAGCTTTTTCAACCTTGTTGTTCCGATGCTTCAAATACTCACCCACCACCTGGACCACCGCCTCGCTCTGGGAAGAAGAAGATGATCAATTTGATCTCCTTTACGGTGGCTGGTCAAACCGGTGCTCAGAAAATTTCTGCTCGACTGATATTCCTTTGTTGGTTGCTGGTCAAATCAATGATCCCTTTCCGGTGGCTGTTGAAGCCTGATCTTTTAGTTGTAATTTTTTATTTTTTCTTTGGAGTAGCAAGAAGAGAAACAAGTATGCTAGACTAGACTACATTATTGCGGGGGTAGCGATCTGGAATGATTTATTGGATATGTTCCGTTCTATGTTTAATCCCACTGTAACCTTAAACTATTCATTTTGTTGTATTTTTGCTATCGTTCAATAGTAAAATCTTCAAATTCCCTTTTAGGGTATTCTTTTGCGTTTGATCAGAGTGAGAGAGAGTGAGAGGACTGGATATCCGGGTTGTTGCGAGTTTAATGGGAAAGAAAAGTTGATTATAATATTAATCTAAGAGCATCACCAATGGACAACCGTTAACATGAAATAAAATATGACACATGGCAATCAATACATAGAATTGTCATCCACATCAAGTTGTAATGGCGTGTACCTTAATTGACAGTGAAGTCCAAAAAATTAGTCTAATGCTTCGTGTTAACAACCTTATAAAAATAACACACTCTCCACATCATATTTGACCAAACCCCGCCTACACACCTGTACCGACTGCAGGCCAAACCTTCGAGATTTACCCACCGTCTCCTACCTCGTATATCAATATCAATTATCAATTCCCTTAAGATCAAAATCCATAAATTAAATTATATATCCATAGGCTAAACTATAAATTTTACACTTCTGGTTTGTTATTGAAGTCCTTAAACATGAGAATCAATCACATCTCCAATCACAGAAATAATCAGTTCTGGTATAATTCGTATTAGCCAAAAAATTATCAGCAAAACAACACACACATATAGCTTATTATTACTTCCGAAATAAATAAAAAATTGAAAAGTGGTGTTAAGGAGAAAGAGATCTGCTTCTACAAACTTATTTGAGGGAAGATGTGAATTTAACAAAGAAAATATATCCATATGCGAAGAAGAGAAAGCTTGTAGTCTTCAACCTTGAATCGAACATCTGCGAAGCTTTACCTCAAGAGGGGAAAAGGAGTCGCTGGGAGATATCATTTACTCACTAGTGAAACATATATGCGGTGAAACAATTTATTTGACGAAAGATATTTTCATCGCGGAAGATTTCTAGAATATGAGCAGTTTTCTCCCTGCGTTTGCTGAGTCAACATGTGTAAGCCTATGTTATCATACGACATTGAGGTTAACGATGTTTACATTAATTATTAACACGTCAGCATTACATTGGCTATGACATACTGTATTGGAGATGAATAAATTTCCAAACTGTTACACCATAATGACGAGGCTGTTTTTTAATGTCAACAGTGATCCATTGGTGATGTTCTTATCATGATTTCAATTAAAAAGATAGGGTTTTTTATTTGAGTTCGTTGCCCTATATTTTCCAAGTCTCCAAGCAACATGCATGATATTCATCGGACAATATTTTTATGCTAATTGTTTATTCTTTCCGTCCCTTAAAATTTATCAATTTGACCAATACAAAAAATTTATAATAAAGTAAACAGTTTATGGTTGAGATTTGTAAAGAGGAGAGATGGATCATAAAGATCACAAATTAATCAATAAGAAAGAATAGAGTCAAAATACGTTATTGGGATAGCCGTAAAAAGAAAAGAGGGCATAATTATGAGGGACTTTTTTTTTAATTAGGGGTGGGATTTTGGAACCATGAACTGAAGAACTGTTGGAACCGAAACTAAAATCTAGCTTGTTCAGTTGGGTTCCTACACAT